ATAAAGGAGTACTTTAAGGAACCAAAAGTGAAGGTAATTATTAAACAAATGCATTTTTTCTTTTGCATTTTAGAAGTTTTCTTTTAAACTGTATAGGAATATCTCTCTTTATTTACCAATGCATTTCCGCCCTGCAAGGTTGATGGGACTGGAACCAGTCTGCAGATTTCTCACATGATGGACTGCAACGACTCCCATGCTCTGCTCTCTGGAGAGCACCTCATCTACGCCATCACCATACCCCTGTCCACCTCCATCATTTTGGCCAACCTCGTCATCATCATGGGCATCGCCTGGAACCGTCAGCTCCACAACACGCCCAACTACTTCTTCCTCAGCCTGCTGGTGGCAGATCTGTGCACGGGGGTGGCGCTGCCTTTCATACCGTTAATGGGTCTGAACCGAGAGTTGAGTTTCAGCTCCTGCCTGGTGGCTCACATTTTCCCAAACTTCCTCTTCCTGGCGTTCCTTTTGAATCTGGTGATGGTCCACTATGAGCGCTACATCTGCATCGTCGACCCCCTGCGTTACAACAACCTGTGGATGCACCGCAGCTTCCCTCTGGCGTTGCTTGTGGTTTGGACGCCTCCACTTCTGTACGCATCTCTACCTGCTTTTGGGTGGAATAACTGGACAGGGCCTGATTGGAACGGCTGTTGTGCAAGTAGCCAAAATACAACTCTACCTTCAAACTGTTCAATAAACAGACCAACGTGCTGCTCGTACAGGCGAGTATTCCCCAACGCTTTTATCTACTTGGAGGTGTATGGACTGGTCTTACCTGCTATTCTCACCATCGCTGGCATGACCGGCCGTGTTTTATGGATCACCCGAGGCCAGCTGAAGGACATCTGTCGCCTCCATCGCTCAGTAGAGAGGGGAAGTCAGGCCTCGGACCAAGAGCAGAGGCTTAGCCTGCGTTACACTCGCTGCGTGGTGGCGGTGTCTCTGACCTTTCTGGCATGCTGGGTACCCTACCTCATCTACATGCACGTCTGCATCGGGTTCTTGATCAGCGACACCAAGAGGAGCTCCACCACTCACATCGTGCTGTCGTGCGCCGGGATTGGAAGCATGGCCGTGGTGCCGCTGGTGCTCGGCCTAGTCAACAGGCAGTACACAGAACCTGCATATAAACTTGTCCAGAAACTCAGAGACAGGTGGAGGACGCAGGGGTCCGAGGAAGTGGCGGTCTGAGAAGAAACTGATGAATATTTATGAAGATGAATCTGTTGGAAATTATGCTGCTAGGGTTTGTTTTCACAGTCGGCATGCTATGCTCACAATGCTAACGTGCTGGTTTTTAGCAGGTGGTATGCTATACATACATAAGACTATATTCTTATTTCTCCTTGTCCTGCCTGTGCTTGTTATCAATTTAGATTTTTTCCAAGTTTCAACCACCTGCCAGCAATGTTTATTCCACTCGTGTTTATCTACTGGTATGCAAGACGAAGAGGGGATAGGGATGCATCCCATCCAGAGCCGGCCCGACCCATTAAGGGACATAAGCGGCCGCTTCCCCGCAGCCACTAGGCACTAGGCAGCCACTAGGCACTAGGCAGCCGCCTAGCAAAAAAAATAAAAATGGTATGTTTAATTAATTGTGTTAATATGCCTAGATTGCCCACTCTCAAAGTCATGTATTATATTATTGAGTCAATAATATAATACATTATCTGTGCTTTACCTGAACCTCATCATGACACTAGAGCGGACGGCAGGATTGTAATTTCCCGTGTTCAGTGAATGCAACAGAGGCAAGACACCAGACCAACCAGAGAGTTGAATGGAAATAAACATCTGTCTTATTGGCTGACAGGTACCTATCCTGTGAGCTGTGACAATGTTTAAACTGTCAGTCGGACTTTTTGAAGATGGACATAAGAACATTTTTTCTTTAAGAATACGACAATTCTCAAGTGGTGGTTCACACAACAACCCCAGAGCCACCACTTGAGCTAGGTAAACAAGGTATGTAAATGTCAGTAAACTTCCAAGCTATGCGAACATATAAGCAAAGCATAAATTACAGCTACTTTGATGTTACTTTGAATCGCGGGGTAAGCTAAAGCTAGCCAGATATATTAAATAAACACTTGTCATACAATCTAAATGTTATGTTTTTTAGCGTTACCTGGTGATTTCAAAGAAAGCTCTGTTGACTTACTGTTCGACATGAAGCTAGAAGCTACCTTACAGTACACAGTTGATCCGGAGTCCTGTCAGTTAAAGTGTTTCATAGTTAGCTTAGCTAAGCATCAACCTAGCACTGAAATATATGGATGTTATGTGACAGTATTTCTGAGAAAAAGTCAGCTGAAATGGTGGCATAGTTGCCACTGCTTTACGTGTCAACAGCATGTTTGAACGTATTTGCAGCAGTAAATGTGGCTGTTTGGCCACTGACGTTACCATAACAACACCTGAATTTAAATGTGCAACCTCTTTTTGTGACAGATTTTTGCAAGAAATTATAATTCTTCTGAATGATATTCCTATTGACAGCTAGTTTCTATGTGAACATTATGAGATGGACAGCCAGAGAGAATAAATGAAAAACTATATGACAAAGCAAGAATACAGTTTAAGTGATTTGTAAAATATCCATAAAGAAAAAAATCTGTTTACAGTTCTGTTTCATATGGCTGTTGAGAGATGTATCCATAGATCTCTTAATTTTGCTCTCAAAGTGCACCAGATTGATGCTTTTAACTTCAATATTTAAAAACAAATCTTCCCGGGGGAGCATGCCCCCAGACCCCCCCCAGGGGAGGTTAGGTCCACGGGGTTTACATGCTTATTTATACAATATGTGTGCTTATGTTAACATCATAAGACAAAAGTTGGTTCCGAAGAACGCGTGAGAACGCGCTAGAGTGAGGGGGGCCCCCAAGCCAAAGCTCGCTTAGGGCCCCCAAAAGTCTAGGGCCGGCCCTGATCCAATCACAGGAACTTTCTGCAAGAACATGCAGCAAAGAAAGGCGTAAACCAGGGGTGGGGAACCTTTTTCCTCTCAAGGGCCATTTCAATGTTTTCAACATCCTCCGAGGGCCGTACAAATTATTGACCTCTGCTTAAAAATACTAAAATCACAGCCCACTCATTTCACCTTTCTTTCATGCTGTGCAAAGAAAAAGCAACCTCTTAATCCAGATATCTTGCCATGACTCATGCATGCACGTGCACGGTTGTGGCATGACCACCCAAACAGAAAGATATGGACACAAGATGTATGCAAATGTGTTTTGGCTTCTAATCCATGTGATCATGATTTAAGTGGGGGGGGGGGGGGACCTAACCTCCTCTAGGGGTCCGGGGGCATGCTCAATCTGGTGCACTTTGAGAGCAACATTAGGAGATCTATGGATACATCTCTCAACACACCCATATGAAACACAACTGTAAGCAGATTTCTTTTTCTTTATGGATATTTTACAAATCAATCCCTTTCAAACTGTATTCTTGTTTATTAATAACAACTTTTTTTTACTGTCATATAGTATTTTATACCTGTTTACTTTTTTCTCTTGTTTTTTTATAACTATAATGATCATATAAAGATGTGCCTTTACCTCACTGGTTGGAGAAAAAGCTTCTTATATTCGTTAGCATAGCTAGCTAACCAGATGCTAATAACAACAAAGTTATTGACTGTATGATATGACAGATCGCCACTGGGCTTACAACTAAAGACACAGCCACGCAAAAACTGCGGCATGTGTACGGCTCCTTATGGGTATTGCAATTTTTGGAAGTGCCGGAGCGGAGCTGCGTTCTGGTGCTCCCCGTCAGAACTACACCCCTGTCAGACGAGACATATACCACGTGATGACACGTTAGGCTTGTGTTGTGTTCAAGGACCCTGACCTTGGCCAGGAAAAATAAGACACTCACTTGTTTAATTATTTTGCGGTCTAGATTTCTTAAATTTTTTTCTTTTTTGCGTGTGTTTATAAATTACCTCGAGGGCCACACCAAATGGTCTCGCGGGCCGTATACGGCCCGGGGGCCGGAGGTTCCCCACCCCTGGCGTAAACCATGTGTGCATGTTACAGTTGCAAATTAGTTTCTGCTATATTTAGATAAACTGTTACAGGAAGGTTAAATAAAGCTGCTTTTAAATACTGTTTGATGAGCTGAAACTGTATTTGTTGTAAAAATCCATGCGAGGGAAATTACATTTTTATTTGAGACTTGATTAAACATGCAATACATGCTTTTTGTTTCCCTAATTAAAGTCTGGTTTAAAATGTGTACATACGGTACAGTATGTGAGTGGAAATAGACGAGCTGAAGCAGACTTTAATCAAATTATAAAGCACACAGTCTGAAGTGCTACGGGACATTAGGAGAGATGGGATATCATGAAGAGGTCAGGGCACACAGACTGTATGTATTGTGTATGTCCTGCTTTGCTTAAACTATGTTCCAGTAGGCTTTCCACATCGGAATATTGTGTAGCTGTAGCCTACTCGTGTGTCAGGAAGACGGAGGAGAACAGGATGAGACTGTCCGGCTGGATCAGGTGGAAAGCAACTGACAAACAAACACACTGTTCCCAAACTATGTCTGGATTCAGATAGGGTAGAACATTTTTCCGAGGGTGAAAATCACGTTAGCTATAGCTTAACCTGGAAAGAGGGATTTCAACTATTTTCAATATGTATACTAAGCTAAGCTAACAAGCTCTTGGCTCCAGCTACATATTTAGGCTACATGTGTGATATGAATCTTCTCATCTTACTCTTGGCAACATGTATTTTCCAAAAATGTCTGACTATATATTCATGTTACTTGAAAGGAAAGAGAGCAGATGTATTGTTCATGGCACTTTATTTAATAATTGTATTATAGTGCAAGTCAGCCTAAAAGTAAACTCTGTAATGCCTTCAGATTTTCAAAAAGCATTTAAAAATGTTTAAGCATCCAGTTCTACTCCGGATCATCTTAATGAATATTCTTCCCAATATTGTGGACAAAAAGAACAGAAACACTACTTTATTCACCTGTTCTTTATTTGAGTGTTAAATGTATCAGCGTTTCGTTATCACATATAGGCTACAATCTTATTTTTGCTCACAAAGTTAGGAGAGAAACAACTGAATAAAGCTGACAAATACACAAAAACAACCTTTGCAAAGGAAAACACATATAAGAAAACATTTTTTTAAACACTGCCACATGGACATAAACAAAACATCTCAAACAAGCACGGATTCTAGGAAAAAACGATCAACCTGCCAAGAAGCTTTTGCACACAGAGCGTAAAGATAAAGTATTGGATTTAAAGAGAAGTTAACAGTGATTTTAATTTATTTGATTCACATTTTGCGGACAGAGGTGATGGACAGACAGTCCCGGTCAATATTCAGAGTAATGGGAGATTTCGGACACCACTATTCCGAACTGCACCTCCACCTGGATCAGCAGGCGTTTCTTCGAGGCCGGGATAGCAGTTTCTCTCGGGACCTCGGAGGGTTCTGGGGCTCGTGGTTTCTCTGGAAGGTGTTTCTTCGATGGCAGGTGAACGTCTGCGTGCAAGTAAGGACTTGGATTGGTTGGTTGTTTTTTTTAGAAATCTGAGCAAAAGGGAGGTTGTATTTTAGTATCTGAACCAATCAGAGCATACATTGGGCAACCTCCACTTTTTTTTGGTGCACATTTTCAAGGCTTCAGTGGTGTAAACGCAACAACATAATTCTCACCTGCAGGGCGATGCATGAAGTTACTCATTCTGCAGAGAGATGGAGCAAAAACAGAAAGAGATGTTAGTGCAATAAATAATGCATTGTGGTGTATTTTATAACAAACATGATCTCACGTGCCTCTGCTCCTCGCCCTCCAGCAGCTTGCGATAGGTGGCGATCTCGATGTCCAGAGCCAGCTTGAGGTTCATCAGCTCTTGGTGTTCTCGGATCTGTCCCGCCAAGTCCTGTCTGACCCGCCTAGAGGCCTCCTCCAGATTGGCGATGTCCTCCCGAGCCTTCTTTAAGTTTGCGTTGCCATCTTGCTTCAACTCAGTGGTGTTGCTCTTCATGGACTCTTCCTAACATAGAAACACAGTCAAACAGAAAATCAGAAGCTAGATGTGCGATAAAACCTCCAAGAGTGCTTCACAACCTTTCTTATGAGAGCCTCCAGTTCGCCGTTGAGCCTCTGGATGGTGCGCACCAGGTCAGCGATATCCCTCCTTAAATAACGCACTTCCTGCTCACGCTCTCCTACATTTAGGACCAGTGCATCCATCTAAAGAGAGGAAGAAAGTACATTTAACCATTCCAGGTACAAATGTTGTGACAATACTACGTACTGGCTATGTACCTTGTCTTTGGCTATCATCTTCCTTTTTCCTCACCTTTTTCTGATTCCACTGCTCTGCTTCGTGCTTGCTGCGGGAGGCCAGATCTGCATACTGATTCTTGACACCATTAATGATTTCGTCCATATCCAGGGATCGTTTGTTGTTTTCGTGTAAGACCACTGACTCGTTCTGGACCTGCGACTGCATCTCCTTGATCTCCTGCAGGAGGCAGACATGGGTACAACAAGGTTATTTATTCAAAACTCACTTATTTTATGTGCAATTAAAGGAAAATAGTATTACCTCATCATAGCCAATCCTGAGGAAGTCCAGTTTTCCCATCAGGTCTTCCAGCTCCAAAGCCAGATCTACTTCATCCAAGTGGCTCTCATCTACTTCCTGTTAAACACATATATTTGGATTAAATATTGGCATTTGTTGACTGAAACTCTGTAAATCAAACTTTGGGAAATTGTGAATATAGCAGAGTATTAACTATAATCTTTCTAAAAGGTTCCACACTGTACCTTTTTCTTGATGATAAACTCGTTCTCCAGATCAGCTTTTTTTCTAAACTCAACTTCATAACTGAAACAAATAGAAATATAGCATGAAGATTCATACACAAATCAGGACAGCTTGTATGTGTCCTTGTGTTTTACTTATAGACATAATTCAGGACCAATGGACATATTCAGATTTAGTTTGACCCCGCTGACCTCTTCTTGGTGTCGTCAAGATCTTCCTGGTTCATGAGCAGCTCAGCCTTCAGTTTTTCTTGGTCGTTGAGCAAGTTCTCGATCTGCTGCTCCATCTCGTTTTCCGACTGCTTGACGATTAAGTTAATTTTTCCATCGTAGTCCTCCTTCTCCATGAGGATCTTCAGTTTGGTGTTAAGCTTTTTGTTCTGATCCTCCAAGTTCTTTTTCTAAGACAGAGACAGACCAGGTAGGGGTCATTGTATGCCTCTTGTTTTTCGGTCCAATGTATAAGGAAAACACTTAATATGTTGTATCAAAGAAGCAAACAAAACAGAACAATTGGACAACAGCTACTTTGCACTATTGTAATATACTGTAAATCTATATTTAATATAAAAGTATTAAAATGTATTCAGTATTTGCACATCAATGACAAGCTGAAGCATCACAACATAAAGTTAAGGGGAACAGGTATGTGCCACGTATGTATAGTCATTATGTATTGAAACGTAACGTTAAATGTCAAGTGTATGTGTGTACCCAAGTTACAGTATGTTGACAGACCAGTCTTAACGTTATCTAATTGTCCACAAGGGGGCGTCCTACATGTACCTCTAACTTTACATGCAGAGAAGCTTGTAAAAGGAGGCACTTTTCATGGCCTCAGGTTACAGAAATAATAGCAGCAGACAGAGAAACAGGTCTTAGATAATATTACATACTCTACAAAGTTGTTGTTTTTTAACTTGTACTGTATATTGATTTGCTTGTATGAATGATATCGAAGTTGTGTTGTGTTTAAAAGAGACGATGGATACAAAACGCAAAAAAGTACTTTCTCTTTGAAAAAAAAAAAAGCCCAAACCTATTGCATTAAAAAAAAACATGATTAATAAGATTAAACTAATTTGACGTATATTATATGACGTGATTATATGACGTATATATATGTATGATCGTATCATTTCGTTATTAAAATATAGTTTAAACTAAACAAATGTTGTATTTTCAGCCTTTTATTCAGTTAACATATGTCTTTTAAAGCGTAAAATACAAAAGCTAGGCCTATAATTATTTGAGCTGTAAAATAAATACAAATAATAAAAGTCATTATTATTATTAGTTTTATTATTAAATAATAATAAAACAATTATAATTGACATACCTTTTCGATCAGATTGACGAACTTGTCGTTGAGTCCCATCATGTCATCCTTCTCTCTGGATTTGCCCGACGTGTCGATCTTGTTGCTCGCGGTGCTTTTGGGCGGCTTGCTCCCGGGAGTGTAGGACTGGCTGCTGTAATCTCTCGTCTTAGACATATTGCTGCTGGTAAGAGGGAGATGGCACTCAGAGGAAGATCAGGTGAGCTGTGAGGATACCTGCAGTCCTCAGGATCACCTGCTTTTAAGGTGAACAAGGACCACCCATCCCCTCCCAAAAACACTGCTTGCGTCCAATCCAGAGAGGCCAAGTGCACAGTTAGTGAGAAAAATAACAAAGTCGACATAAAAAACGGAGTGTAAACCAGTTTATCCAGGAGTGGTGCTGGCACCGGGAGCCAATGTCATCGCTGGGGGCGGATTTACGCGTAAAAAGCAGGTATAAAACCCACCTGTCTCCATCACATCCAAAATCTGAATCTTTAGCCTGAAACGCTCCGTCACTGTCATCTATCTCTCAGAAGTCATGCCTTCAAACACCTCAGCCAGTATGTTCGGTGGAGCCGGGGGAAGGGGCTCCAGGGTGTCTGTGGCGAGTCTGGAGGGGTTGCGCAATGTGCTGCGCAACGACACGGAGAGAGACTCGGCTCCGGCCCCTGCAGCTGCCCCTGCAGCTCCCCTCGCTCCGGCCGTGCCTGTTGTCCCCGCGGACGACAAGCAGACTCTGCGGGGTCTGAACGACCGTCTGTCTGATTACCTGGGCCGGGTGTGGCAGCTGGAGCAGGAGAACCGCGACATGGAGATGCAGATTGATGCGATTTTGGCCAAGAGGAAAGCACCTGAGGGCCGCAACTGGGATGAGGTGCAGAAGCCACTGGACATCCTCAAGAAGCAGGTTAGTCTTCAGGTGCATTCCTTATCTTATTTCTTTGTAAAATAATATTAAATTAAATAAAGTATTTTTCATTATAACAATATTACTTGTTATATATCATGCATTTATCTCCACAGATCAAGGAAATCGCCATCGACAATACCAAGCTGCTGCTCCAGATCAACAACACCAAACTGGCTAATGATGACTTCAAGAACAAGTGAGTTTAGTGCTAGATTTATTTGATATCCAATAATCCTGATTGGTCAGTGTGTCGGTGTGAACTTCCTCTCCCTGTGTGCAGGCTGGAGGATGAGAAGAATGGAGAGAGGGAACTGGAGAAAGACCTGGAGGATCTGAAGAAGAACATCGAGGACACCGGGCTGAACCGCATCCATACCCAGAAAGAGATCGACCTGATGAAGGAAGAGCTCGACCGCCTCGAGAAGGAACACAAAGAGGTGAGGAAACACACACTTCAAGATCAAATAACAACATTTCATTATGGAAAACTGAGTAACTTGTGGCTGTGGCTCTTGTAGGATGTGTGTGCCCTGCGTGAGAAGATCAAGGACTCCGAGGTGACAGTGGAAATCGAGTCCCAAGACTCCAACCTGGCTGAGATGGTTAACAACATCCGCATCCAGTATGATAAACTAGCCGAGAAGAACCTGAAGGAAACGGATGACTGGTACCAAAACAAGGTACGTAACCTGCCATATAACCTCTTTAATGTATCTTTCTCTAATCCTCTGTTGATCTCATCATTACTGTCTCATTTTCCTTCCTCCAGTTTGAGACCATCAAGGTGGTGGAGGCACAAAACAACGAGGACCTGAACTCTGGGAAGTCCGAGCTCAGAGAACTGCTCAAACAGAAACAGTCTCTAGAGATCGAGCTCCAGAGAGGACACAGCAAGGTAACCACACACAAGACTCACGATCACTCTGCAGCTTTAGCAAGGGATCAGTCAAACAGATGATGCCAAATTCCTCAAACCATTTAAAGCAATACTTCAAAAACATTTAGAAAATCTTCCCTTTGCCACAACAGGAATGGTAACTAGGGGTTTCTAGTGTACCTATATCCTTTTCACAAGCATTCCTCACTGACCTGTCATTATACTGTAAATCCTGTAACCTTAAACCTGACAAACACTGTCCCTCTGACACAGGGATCTGCTCTTACATAACTAAACAAACAAAAGAAGATCCCAGTGAACTATTCTATTTAGGATTCGACACTTGGATTTTCAGTTTAGGATTTGAGGCCCAAAACGGGGATCAAAATCATGTCACTTTGTTTCAGATCCGTCATCTGGAGGAGGCTGTTACCCTCACCAAATTGGAGAACGGCCAGCATCTGGCCCCTCTCAACAAGGCCATCCTGGATCTGGAGGCCGATCTGAAGGAGGTGAGGGCCGAGGTGGAGCGCATCGTGAGGAACAACGAGGACCTGCTGTGTGTGAAGATGAAGCTGGAGGCGGAGATGGATAACTACCAGAGGCTGATTCATGGCGTTACAGCCGACCCTGGAAGGTGAGAAACTCTTCCTGATGATCGTGTGATGTCACAAAGTTAGACGGGCTCAAATAAAATGATCATCACCTCTTCAGAGCATGTTATGTTCTACTTAATGTAGACAATCATTTTTTAAAGGTTTTACCGGGTTATATTTTGTTACTAAGCTAACTGGCTGCTACCTCTATTTTCTTAGAAATAAAACTAATAAATACATCTGAAAGTTTTAACTTGATAGCATACACAAAAGCATGGTGTACCTGCACGTTGGCATACTTATCCTCCTCTTCCTCGACAGCTTGGAGTTTGCTTTAGAAGATGCGCTGCAAAGCGGTAAGTTCTGGATCGAGCCTGGAGAAAAAAATCAAATCACAAAAACTCCAGCGCCAGTGTGTAAATTTGATATGGTCTAAACAATATTGTTGATGACATTCTTCACTGTATCTGTGGACAATAAGGCCATATTGTTTACACACTTTGTATTCAGTTAAAGCGTTCAACTTGAGATCTAACCCTCACGTCACTTCTTGAAGGAGTAGTTTTGACAAACATGCTTATTTGTGTTCCTGATAAAAGAAATATGAGGAGGAAGGTAACACTTCCAGATTCTCACCTCTCTGCAGCAGAAAGCAAATAGGCATGTTTCCTTTAAAGCTGAGTCACTAACTGCATCCTGTACCTGCATGCAAGATTTGAACACTACACAACTAAATCGAATCCAATTTGAATTTCTCTGTCCCGTGTTTTTGGTGAAGGATCACCTGACTGATGTATTTTTCATTTCCAGAGAAGCAAAAGCCTGAAGAGAAGGTGGCCCAGCAGCAGGAAGTGGGGAAAAAAGACACCCCCAAGAGCAAGAAAAGCTCCTCCGCTAACAAGTCCACTCCCCCCGCAGCAGTTGACCCCCTCGATGCGTTGGCGGGAGATCTCATCAAGAAGAACGTCGTTAACAATGAAGCCGCTCCTGTTGCTCCAAGCCAAAAGAAAAAAACCTCCTCTTCCTCCTCCTCTTCCTCATCCTCCTCTGACGAGAATAAAGATGAGAAGCCCAAGGAAGAAAAAGAGGGTGAGGGTGAAAAGACCAAAGCCTGAGTTATAATATATAACCTACTATAAACCTGTGAAGCTACTTAAAGTTTGTCACTCAATAAATGATTTGAAAATAAAACGCCCAGCCTTGTTTTATTTCCTCTCCTTTGATACATTGAGCAGCATTGTTTCTCAAGCAGGGCGACTTTTGCATAAAACATGATTTAGACAAGTCTAGTTTGGGTTGAACAAATGATGACTTGAAAGAGTGCAGAAATGTCACTGCACAATGGAATATATTTCATTGGCACCATTTAGGCATTATTTCGTTTTTAAATTCTCAAGAAATATCATGATCTTGTCAAAAACACTACAGTAAACATTCAAACTAGAAATCTAAGGAATATATTGTATATATTTGAAAACCACTTTATAAAGACCTTGAAACCAACATGTATACAAAATACTTGCAATGTTTCTCAAGCAGGAATACTTTTGTATAAATTATGATTTAGACAGACGTTAAATATAACTTTAAATTCTATTTAGTAGTATGAATGCAAAAACTGCACACTTATATGTATGGTACTCCTAGTGAACAGATTGACTTGCATTTGAAACAAGTCATTATTTACTAGAGAAAAAGTGCCCAAATGTCACTGTCAAAAGTATTTTGAAAATAGTTTTGAAAGACTTTGTTGAGCATTTCCAGTGTACAGCTCAGTTTATGCTCAAAACCATCATGTAGTTATTATTTCTTAAACTTGTATACTATATTGGCAGAGGACATAGGACAGAGAACCAAAGAACAGAAGTGGTTGTGAAAGAATAACAAAATGTCTTCTGCCAGAGATACTTTTTTGTAAGAGTGATTTATTTTATTTTTTTCAAATGACAATGGTACAGACGACATGAAGCACAGAGAGGAGGAGAGGGGGGGTTGAAATCATCCGATGAGTGGATACTGCATGGTGAGGGGGTTGAGGGGCAAGCAAGAGTACCAAATGGAGTAAAAGATATCGTATCAAAAATTTCATTTTTTTTCATATATATTTATATAGGACTAATAATTCTCTTGAACTAGGCAAAGCAAGGAATACCCTTTTCCATTTATCTCGAGCCGAGGCTCTCCCTAAGCAGAGCCGACATTATTATTCATAAAAAAGAAAGAAAAGACGGGACATGTACAGAGGCTGGGCGGGGACATTTTGAGGGGTCCTGTGGTCCTGTCCGATGTGGCGTTTGAGGCGTGTAGCGCGTCTGGGCGTGTCCACAGGGGTTTGGATTTCTCTGGTGGGCTGGCCTAAGCGGGAGAACGTCTTTCCACTGAAAAGCAAAACAAACACACGATAAATACCACGGAAAGTGATACCAACGTTTTCTAAATCAACAAACATGTGATTCATATATATTTTCCAGAGAACATCTGACACTGAAGCCAAACTCAGATTTCATGTGAAGTCTTTCTCCCTCTTCGAAACTCACGATAAAAGCGTCTACTGGGCAAGGCAAGGCAAGTTTATTTATATAGGCAAGGCAAGGCAAGTTTATTTATATAGCACTTTTCAACACAAGGCAATTCAAAGTGCTTTACAAAAAATGAAAGACATTAAGAAAATGGCATTTAAAATCAGTCATTAAAAATAAAAGCTAATAAAAGAAACATTAAAAGAAAAAATACATGGATACAAGTTTCAGTGCAGTCTAAGATATGAATAGTTCAATTAAACATTAAAAGAAAAAGTACATGGATAAAAGTTACAGTGCAGTCTAAGATATGAATAGTTCAATTAAAAGCAGCGACAAAAAGAAAAGTCTTCAGCCTGGATTTAAAAGTAGTCAGAGTTGCAGCAGACCTGCAGGTTTCTGGGAGTTTGTTCCAGATATTTGGAGCATAATAACTGAACGCTGCTTCTCCATGTTTAGTTCTGACTCTGGGGACAGAAAGCTGACCAGTCCCTGAAGACCTGAGAGATCTGGATGGTTCATAATTTAGCAGGAGGTCAGAAATATATTTTGGGCCTAAACCATTCAGTGCTTTATAAACCAGCAGCAGTATTTTGAAATCTATTCTTTGACACACAGGAAGCCAGTGTAAAGACTTCAGAACAGGAGTGACGTGATCCACTTTCTTAGTGTTAGTGAGGACTCGAGCAGCGGCGTTCTGAATCAGCTGCAGCTTCCTAATAGATTTTTTAGTGAGACCTGTGAAGACACCATTGCAGTAGTCCAGTCTTTTGAAAGACTTTGTTGAGCATTTCCAGTGTACAGCTCAGTTTATGCTCAAAACCATCATGTAGTTATTATTTCTTAAACTTGTATACTATATTGGCAGAGGACATAGGACAGAGAACCAAAGAACAGAAGTGGTTGTGAAAGAATAACAAAATGTCTTCTGCCAGAGATACTTTTTTGTAAGAGTGATTTATTTTTGTTTTTTTCAAATGACAATGGTACAGACGACATGAAGCACAGAGAGGAGGAGAGGGGGGGGTTAAATCATCCGATGAGTGGATACTGCATGGTGAGGGGGTTGAGGGGCAAGCAAGAGTACCAAATGGAGTAAAAGTGTGATCTACTTTCTTAGTGTTAGTGAGGACTCGAGCAGCGGCGTTCTGAATCAGCTGCAGCTTCCTAATAGATTTGTTAGTGAGACCTGTGAAGACACCATTACAGTAGTCCAGTCTACTGAAGATAAAAGCATGGACAAGTTTTTCCAAATCCTGCTGTGACATTAGTCTTTTAATCCTAGATATATTCTTTAGGTTTAGGCTGATTTAGTAACTGTTTTAATGTGACTGTTGAAACTCAGGTCAGAGTCCATGACTACACCTAGATTTCTGGCTTTATCTGTTGTTTTGAACATTGCACACTGAAGCTCAGCGCTAACTTTTATACGTTCTGACTTGGCTCCAAAAACCATTACCTCAGTTTTATCTTTGTTTAATTGGAGAAAGTTCTGACACATCCAGTCATTGATTTGTTCAATGCACTTACTCAGTGTTTGAATTGGAGCATAGTCTCCTGGTGAAATTGTTACGTAAATTTGTGTGTCATCTGCATAGCTATGGTAACTTATTTTGTTGTTTTTCATTATCTGAGCCAGTGGTAGCATGTAGATGTTAAAGAGAAGAGGCCCCAAGATGGAGCCTTGAGGAACCCCACATGTCATATTTGTCAACTCAGATGTGTATTTACCTTTAGAAACAAAGTTGTTTCTGTCCTTTAAGTAGGATTCAAACCAATTTAGAACTGTTTCCGAAAGTCCCACCCAGTTTTCCAGTCGGTCTAGTAATATGCTGTGGTCAACAGTGTCAAACGCAGCACTGAGATCTAATAATACTAACACTGAAGTTCTGCCACTGTCTGTGTTTAAGTGGATGTCATTAAAGACCTTTACAAGAGCAGTCTCAGTGCTGTGGTTTGGACGAAAGCCTGACTGGAACACATCGAAACAGTTATTTAAATGCAAGAAATTACTCAACTGTTGAAAAACAACTTTTTCAATGATTTTACCTAGAAATGGGAGGCTTGATATGGGCCTGTAATGTTCATTACTGAAGAATCTAGATTATTCTTTTTTAAGAGCGGTTTAATGACTGCAGTTTTCAGGGCCTGTGGAAAAATACCTGAGTGAAGAGATTTGTTTACTATATGAAGTAGATCTGAGGCCATGCAAGGCAAAACATTTTTTTTAAATCCTGTTGGAATAATATCAAGGCAGCAGGAGGAGGATTTCAGAAGTTGTATAATGTCCTCTAGGTTTTTATCATTAATCTGATGGAATTGTGTCATGGTGTTTGAATTGATGTTAAGTGGACACAGAGACAACACATTTGCTGTTCCTGATGCAGAGGCACTGACTGCTTGTCTGATTTTCTGAATTTTGTCAGTGAAAAAGGCAAAATCATTGCACGCCCTGGTGGATAGAAATTCAGAGGCTACTGACACTGGGGGGTTAGTTAGTCTGTCGACGGTAGCAAACAAGGCACGTACGTTCTTTTTGTTTTTGGTAATGATGTCAGAGAAGAACGATTGTCGTGCGTTTTTCAATTCCAAATTATAAAGGCCAAGTCTCTCTTTATAGATTTAAAAGTGAACCTGGAGATTTGTTTTTCGCCACCTGCGTTCAGCTTTTCGACATTCTCTTTTTTCTGTTTTCACGCTCATGGCCTTTCTCCATGGAGATATTTTCTTGCCAGACACTTCCTTTACCTTAGTTGGAGCAATGGCATCTATAACATTTTTAATTTTTGAATTAAAATGATCTACTAGCTCATTTACTGAGATGTTAGCAGGGGCAAGTGTGGAAGAAAAAATTCTGAGTAAACATTTCCCTAGTATTTTCAGTTAAATATCGCTTTGTGGTTACCTCTTTTTGAACATTTTTGTGAACAGAAATAGAGCTCTCAAAGAAAACACAGGAATGGTCAGAGAGTGCAACATCAGTCACCACAACCTTAGAAATATTCAGACCCTTTGAGATAATTAAGTCCAGATTGTGCCCCTTATTGTGGGTGGGCTCCGTCACATGCTGAGTCAGTCCATAGCTATCAAGAACACAAAACAGTTCTTTTGCCCCTCTGTCAACATGGATGTTAAAATCACCAACAATGACTAGACGGTCAAAGTCAATACACACTATAGACAGCAGTTCAGTAAAGTCATCAAAAAAGCTTGCACAGTATTTGGGTGGTCTATAGATATTTAGGAACAGAGCTCGAGAGGAGCATTTCAGCTGAAGGGCCACATATTCAAAAGAATCAAAGTTCCCATAAGATGTCTTCCTGCATTGAAGGGAATCATTGAACAGAATAGCAACTCCACCCCCTTATTTATGCATTCTTTCCTGACTCATAAAACTAAAGTTGGGAGGGGTTGATTCGATAAGAACAGCTGCACTGTTATTTTGTTCAATCCAAGTTTCTGTTAAAAACATAAAATCGAGATTGTGCTCAGTGATAAAATCATTGATAAAAAATGTTTTTCCTGCCAAAGACCTGACATTTAATAAAGCTAGTTTAAGTTTGTTAAACACAGTATCAGTCATGTTTTTTGTAACAAGCTGTGGCTGACATGGAATCACTGCTAAATTAGATACACTCAC